GCTATTTACAAGTACCACATTTAGAGCAACGAAACTCTTTGAAAATGGATCTACTTATATCTTAAAAATATACAGAAACCTTCTTATGGTAGATGACACCAAAGTACACATACACTCTTTGATCCCATCAGCAAATGCTAATAATAAAAATTTGAAGAGAAATCGTTTTCAGTAACTGATGTCTAGCTTGAGATAAACTCCATGTATTAAAGCAAAACACACACTTCAAATGGATCTTTGTAATTGATCCTACTTTAGAAGGGTTCCATTTAATCCAGTTCCATTTTTCTAGCCAACTAGCACACTGTTTGCTTTTGCAGTTCAAACCTGACTCTATGGTGTGCCTTTATGGTAACTCTCAATATACTCCAAACTGCATCCTTGGGAATACAGCTCAGCTCTTGATAGCAAAATAAAATTCAGCTGTATGAAACCTCACTTTCTAAATAAAGAGCACCATGGTTTTAAATGACACTGATTATTCAACTAAGGTTACGCTTCTATTGCTAAATTGAGTTGTAATTATACAGCAGAATTAATAACCAAATTTAATGAAAATCCCATTATGATGCAGCTTAGTAAATCAAAGCTGAAACTGCTGTAAGTAAAATGACAGATAGTCACAATATAAGGGCAATACTACATTTGAGTCTATTTCCTCAGCTTTATGGAGGTCTCAGCAGGAAGTTAACTCCAAGATGACATTGCCTCTCCCCTCACTAGCAAGCACAAGCCCAGAGACAGACCCACAGAGAAGGGAGGCTGACAAGGGAGGTTCATGTCTGTCCTCAGGGCTGCCTCCAACCTCAGTAGGTATGCCCCGGAAACTGCACTCCAGCTGGTGAGGCAGAATCAGGCCCTCCAATTTCAGGTCATTGACCCCACAAAAATCCAAAGGGCACAAGAGTCAAAGAGACTAACTCTTGAGAAATAGGAAAGTTATTCCAAGATACAAAATTTTTAATTACAGTGTGCTTTTCTTCTTCTGATCCATTTGGCACATAATAAACAAAGTTATATTTTGGGGGGCTTGTATCTAGCGAGATTAAAAGCTACTAAGAATGGAACCGTGAAAAAGAGGAAAGGAGTGTCTGATTTACCCTAAATAACACTCATTAGGTATATATTAATCTCAGAACACACATGAATTCAAACAGACTCAAACAGAAAGGCTTTACTTTTAGTATGAAATGCTAATAAAAGACTTGAATTGATCTCTTTTTCCCCATTTAAACTAATTCTGTACAAGAACTGCAAACTGGTTATATATTAAGGATTCTTGAGACTTCAACAGAAAAATTCTCAGCTACAAGACAGGAGTTGGAAGGCAATTAGTTCTTTGAAAAATTATAGCACTACCTCTCGTAAGTATTCAAGCACATTAACTGTGTTGCTGAGATATACTAACATAATATATAGAAGGTGCATGGAGGAGAGAAAATTATTTTGCATTCAGCTAAAGAATAAATATATACAACCCTCTCCAAAATATGCATTGCTCCAACATGTGAAATCAAGCTGAAGGTAGGTAGATTTCTAATCACAAGCAGAATTTCCTGCTTATAAAGTTCAAACCAATGTATGCCAATAGAAAAATATTTCAGCTCTGGTGTATTGTGTTCTGATGGGTAAGAATCTTGTACTATTCATGTTTTGCAATAATTTTAGCTTTGTCAGTAAGAGGGATTCTCTGAATAATGTATGTAGTGCAAAAGAAATGAACAGAGTTTAAATAAAACACACAGATGCAAAGGGGAAAGAAAGAGGACTGTCTCCAAACCAATACAGATCAGATCAATTTTGCTAACTTACAATAGATTTTATCTGCTAAAGCAAGCTCTTTCATATGCATTCATGATTTAGAATAAAAACACTAATGTTCTGGGCCTGTTTGAAGAAAAGAAAAATGTGTAAAATAACCATTAGAAGTTAGCTTTTACAGTGAATATACAAAATTATTCCAGTTCCAAAAGTACTCCTGAGTGAGCCTTTAGATATATACTTTTTATCTAGTGAATAGAAAAGAAAAATTAAAGTTTTTCCAATGTTGCAGTGAGTTACTTGCTAATATGCCATCCATAATCCTTTGGAATAATCTGTCTACTGTCCCTTACACATGCAAGGGGCCAGGCCCTCAATCTTTACAAGTAATAGCTGAAGAAAATGGAAACAGAAATAGAGGTAACTGGTCATGTCTCAGAGCTTTATGCTTGAACTCACATAAATATTCACCTCAGACCAGCAGCTCTAAGGCTTTTGTACTGTATATCTGGGGACATGTGCTCTGAGTAATTTCTACACAAACAGCAAGTTTCACAGTGGTTCAGCAAAGAGTTATCATTTCACATTGCCATGAAATCACTTAATTCAGAGCTGATGGTGGGGGTTCTTTAATTAGGTTAGAAAATCTCACACATCTGCGCTTTAGAAGCCTCTGTCAAGCCAGCAAATTCAATCACATTGAAGCCAGTGTCCTCCAGCTATCAGACAATTGATTTTTGCAGTATTCTGCCCATATTTAGTTTAAGGAACATGAGATATGTTCATTCAGTTGTCAGTCAGTTTGCCTACATTTCATTAGGAGATTTGTTGTTTAAAAAGTATTCTTCAATATTTAAAATGTTTTTTAAAAGAAGAAGCAGTCAGATTATGGGCACAAGACTGAAAAACATGAAATAAATACAAACTTGCACTATACAAAAATACGAGTGAGTTTAAGTGGCAAGTACAAACATAAATAAGGCCTGTACGATTACGTCTATTTAATATAGACATTTACATAATTATATGAGCATACACAAACATATAAATTTACTTTTCCCTTTCTTCTCTGTCTTTCCCCATACTGTAAGGACTTGTCATTTCTAAAGTCATTAAACTCTTTGGAACTCAAACTGGGTTCACTTAAAAAAAAAACCAAAAAAGGATCAGGTTATGAATCACTATTTCTATAAATGACAGCAAACATAACAAAACAGGTTTTCCTCAGTTCAAACAATGTAAGGTAGACATAACCTAAGGCAGTTGGAATGAGAGAATAATCTGGTGCAAACAGTCTAATTAACCAAAGTTTTGGGCAAACCTTTTTTGAACCTAGTGTTAGTCTTATATAGAGAAGTGGTCCAATTTTAGACAATTTTTAATTAATGTAAATCAGAATTAATTCATTAACATTCAAATAGACACACTGAGCAATATCCTTAATCCAAAAAGTAACAACAGCCTCGGAAATTATTTCTCAGAACTAGATTTGTAGGCAGAATCTAAAATAACTGACTTCACCTAAAATTTCTGATTTTAGTATACAAAAATTTTAGTTCCCTCCTCTTTGGTAAAAAATGAAAGTTTAAAGAAAGCTAGTGTCATTTATTTTCATGGAATATATTATCAGTGCCTGCAAAAGTTGACACCTATTGTAATATATTCTCAATGAACTGCACCTGCATAGATCTGATTCCTTCCAGTTTCAAAGCACCTTTTGAAATGTTTTCACCTTATAAAATTTGATACTGATTTTCACACCAAACACAACTAATACATTGCTTAATACAGAATTCACACTTTGTGGGACATCGGTCTTTCCTGAATAAAATGAATGGAGCCATTTTTGCAGCTCATAGTCTTTTCCTCTTAAATAAGGTGGCAAGGTCATCTGAAACTTGGAATACTGAAAACTCATACAAATAAATTTAGCAATCATGAAATAAATTATACATGAGAATTGCACAGTACATTGTATGTTTACATATTAAGAATAGCCACAAAGATGGCAGTGAGAAAGTGAAGAGGAACACAGCACATATTTTAAAGGCACGATGAACACTAAGACATTTTCCAGTATGTTTCTATTTTAAACTCGCTCAGCAATGTTGCTTAGGGCATCTACTTCCAGAGGCAATTCACTCTTGAATGAAGAGGAGGGATTCGAAAACTTAACAGCCACAAAGGAAAACCTATAGAGTCCTGAAATATGAACATCAAAGTAGTAACGCTACTACAGTCTTCAGCTTTGCTACACTTTATACCACTGTCTTACATAATAGCATGAATTCCTTTTAAGAAGCTAGACATACATGATGATACATAGAAATAATGCTTTGCCACTCTCAGAGATTAAGCAGTATCCAGCATGTGTTTTAACCACTGATAAAGACCCTAAGGTGGTTGAAATGTAGGAAGTTCCGCTAATCATACTTTGCTTTTTTAATAAAAAATAAATAAATTAAATGTTACCTCATTTAGTAAGGGCATTTCTTATTCTGTTTTCCTCTCATTGTGTATGTGCATCTGTGTGTATGAGGGTGTGTGTGTGCGTGTTTATAAAATATATAGTAGGAAGAGAATTTGTTCCAGTTGAGGTGGTCTGTGAAATCAAGTAGATCAGATACTAACTTGATTTGGCACCAATGTATGGATGCATAGAGACATATCCACAGGATGTATGCATTACGAAATGGTAAGAGACATTTACAACCTAGAATATAAGAGCAGGGCTGCCACAAGTGACATCACCAGATCAACTGCAGCGTCAAGCAACTCAGATATATTATCCTGCACACCACTGCTTCCCTGTCTCCTTTCCAGCCATTAGAAAACCATTTGTGAGTACAAATATTATCACATATTTTCAAATACACAGAAGGCACCCCATGCACAAAAGCGAACAACAGTAACTGAGGGGTTTATGGACTAATTGTGACATTCATAATTTTTCTTTACAACAACAAAATTCATCTCCATAGAAACCTGGAAGCAAGAAACTACAGTAATAACACTAAAGTAAATGTCACATCAGGTTGGTCAGCAGAAGGCTGGAGAGGGGATTTTGCTCCAGTTAGGAACTATCAAGGATTGCTGCCCCTTTTGCTCTCCTGCAAAGGGTATCTGTACCAAAGACAGACTTACTGATGTATTTAAAACGCAAGATAACAATGTGGTTTCATATTCTTTTCACTGCAATTTACCCATAAGGTGGTCAGATCAGTTTCATGTTTACTCACAGGCATTTGTTACAGCGAAGCTGTTAGCTGTTTCAATGTTGTCTACATGAGGAACCAAATTAAAAGGTGCTTCAGATGCATTGGGGCTGGTGTTATGAAGAAAGATTGCTAATCGAAAAGCAGTATATTCCTGATCTGTGTTCCTGATGAAGAGACCACCTATAAAAAAAACCAGAAAAAAAAAAAAAAAAGGCAAAAGAAAAGAAGCAGGGTAAATCATTTGCAAGCTACTTACTATCTTTGTTTGCACGCAACTGTCTCTCCCAAAGCTGCACAGTAAGGCAAGTCCTAAGACTTTAATGGATAAGGAACTAATCGTATTCGTAATCACAACCATTGCCTTTAAATCACTGTCATCAATCGATTTTAACCTCCCTGATGCATTCATGCTTCTTTTCTGACTTCTCGGTTTCCAGCCTTTCATACATAAATACCCAGATTTGTCATGATTACAGTGACCTTTTAAAGTGCTTAGCCTCCATCTCCCTGATACCGAACACACTGCTAAATCAGCTACTCAACAATCTCTCAGATTAAGTGGCGGGCTGATTAAGGGGAGCGATGCTTTCTGGATTAAAAAAAAAGAAAATACCAACTCAGTGTAGGATAATCTGCACTGAAGAGGCATATAATGAACTTTGCTCCTCTGCAGCCATGTGCAGGCAGGAAGCAGCTCAGCTCTATTAGCAGCATCTTCACAAGTCCACGAGAAATGATGCAGTGATGGAGCTGAGCTGGAAAGAATTCAGATAGCTGCGTCCCATCTGAAACACGTCCGAAAGGAGGGAAGCCGGAGGCGATGGGAAAGGGGTGAGGATGAGGCATAGGACTACAGGGAGACATCTACAAAATCCTAAACTTTGCAACTGCAGAAGGAACGAAGGACAGCGTTGCCTTTTATCCCCCATCCGTGCCAGTTACCGCAACCTCTCGTGCAGAGGACTGCCATCCCTCCGGGAGTCAGGCAAAAGCGAGAGGGGGTTGAAGCATTCAAGGGGCATCAAGCCCCGAGCCCCTTCCTCCCCTGCTGATATCGTACACCCGGAGATGGAATGAGTTCTGCAAAAGATAAGCATCTTCCCTCCCGCATGCGAACGCACACAGATGTATTTACACACACAGGCACTCGGAGGCACATATACACAAACACACGCGGATGGTTCGTGAAGGCATGGAAATGGGATGGTGCTGGAGGAGAAATCTGCAAACTGCCTTCAAAGCCTCCTTTCCAACTCACTTCGCAAAAGATTGAACCCCTGGACACACGCACGTAGCCCAATGCAGCGCTTACCTATTTGCACGCTGCTAGGAAAAGCTCCCATTGCTAGTCCCCAAAAGCCAGAAAACAACAAGACAAGCTGTCTGCAAATTATCCTCATCTTCTCTTCTGCCTCTCTGTCTCGCCTTCTCCCGCTCGCTCGCTGGATGCTGCTCAAAGAGGCATCGAGGGCGAGAAGGCTACACACAAAATCAGGAATAAAAAAAAAATGTAAAAAAAAAAAAAAAGGAATGAATGGGGAGAAAAAGAGAGGTTTCCCCCTTTTTTTTTTTTTTTTTTTTTTTTTTATTTTGTGTGGTTTCGCTTTAGTATTTGTTTGCTATCCTCTCCCGCTCGCGCGCTCTGCCTCTCTCCCGGCGGCCGCTGCCGCTTTCAGCAAGCCATCCCGCCGCGGCGGATTTTTCCCGCAGTCTCCATCGCCGGGGAGCGGTTTCTGTCCGGCTGCGAATGTTGCACATGCAGAAGATGGTGGTGAGTTTGGCGGCGGGGGGGCAGGAGCGCCTGCTGGAGGCGCGGCGCGGCGCGGACGGACATGCGCCCTGCGCATCCCCCCCTCCGCCGCCCGCCCCGCTCCGCTCCGCGCGGCCCCCGCCGCCGACAGAGCCGCGGGGGTTCTTGTTTCGGGGGGGTGGTTGGTTGGCTATAATTTCATGGGGGGAAGAAGGGGGGGGGCCTGTTTTTTGATTTGGAGTCTTTGGGGTTTTTTTTCCCAACCCCCTCCCCCTTTTTTTCCTGCCACTCGCCCATCCGCGAGCGCGCAGGGGCGCGCAAGTTCGTGCGGCGGGAGCGGGGCCAGGCAAGGTCAGTGCCCCGGGCTGGGGCGCTGCAGCCCATCCTGTGCGCCCGGGGCGGGTGCCGTTAAGTACCAATTATTATTAATGAAGGTGGCTGGGCGGATCTGCATGTACTGGGCGGCTGCGGAGCGGCGGGACGCGGCTGGGCAGGCCCGGGCCCCCCTTTTCCCGGGGGGCGCTCGGCTCCGCGCGGGAGCGGCGGGACCCCCTCCGCGCCGCCGGGCTGTGCGGCGGAGGATGGAGCGCAGGGACGGGAGCAGGGAAGCGCTCAGCGCTTGTGGGCACTCATGCCAAAGGGAAGGAGAGCAAATGAAAGGAAAACTTCGCTGCTCCTATGCTGCCGCCTTTTCTCTCACACTCTCTCTCTCTTTTTTTTTTTTTTTTTTAATCCTTTTTTCTTAATATTTTTAGCTGGGGAAAAAAAAATAACGGAGCTTTTTTTGTGTCTAGACCCTTTTTCTTTTGGTGCCTTTAGATTTTTCTTTTCAAGCCTTGGAAGCTTCCCAGAGGAGCTGCCAGAAGTCTGGGGCTGTTACAGTTAATAATTAAAAGATACATATATATAATAAATGATAGGTAATGAAATCACCCAACAATAGCTGTATGTCAGAGAAGGAGTTTCTAGTTTCACATGTGGCTTCGCAGAGAGATTTCTGTCAGTCGCAGGGAATGATTTGAGTTCCAATAGCATAATTTTAAAATGTTAATTGGTAATATGAAAGAATACTGATTTTTAAGGTGAACCTTGTGGCTCTGCTTTGAAACACACATTTCCTCTAAGATCAGACTTTTACCTCCTTTCACTGAGGTTTACTTTCTTAGTTTATTACTATACCCTGTATCCTCAAGCTCTCCTGCTTTTATGGCGAAAGACCCTTTCAATTGCTGCAGAGGGTGACTGATTTGTGAAGAATGATTGTGAGCTCCTTAGCATCTACCACATACTCAGAAGAGTAAGCAAAGAATATTGAAGCCAGAGAGACAGACAGAGAGACAGACTGTCTTATCAGTATGGACACGTGTAACTGTGTACATGACTGTGTGTATGCGTGTGTTTGGCAGAGTGTGGAGTTCCTGTAAATAAATTACATTCTGGGAGATTTCTTTGAAGATCAATGACAAACAGACTTCACCTGCATTTTAGAATACTTATTCCCTTATGTTTCAGTAAATCATCTGCTTCTGTTTACTTTCCCTCCATGTATTCCAGTCCTTCTTCTGAATCTGCAAGCTTGTGCTTCACATTATTTACCCATGGTTTTTTGTGACCTCTGCTTTTGCTCTTGCTTGATTTTCTTTTTTTCTTGCTTGCTTTTCCTCCTTTGTCTCCCTAAATTCTCCCCAAAATTTGGTTGCTTTTTTCCTCCATCCTTCAGCATTTAACTTTTTGACTGTGTAAATCCAAGTAATAAGTAATGAAAACTGGATAATAATTCTGTGGTTGGCTGGTTCTTCACCACTAGGAGCAAGTGTACTTGGGAACAGGTAAAACATTTAGTTAATTTGATGGCACATACTCATGTGGATTCATGCCAATTACGTATTAAATATTAGGATTTTAGACATATGTCTCTTATAATGGAACAGCAAGTTGCTGCCTACAACCTGAGCTGAGAAATATGCTTTGGTCTTTTTCAAATACAATGGTAGCATGTTAATTTAAATTTAATTTGAGAGTCTACAAGGAACATACAGTGGTCTTAACTGATCTGACCAGGAGTCTCACCCAGAAGTTCCTACACTGAATCTGTAAATTCTGTTGGAGTTGGAACATATATTTTAGTGAAATATCCAATCTTGATTTAAAGACTTCAAGAGACAGGAAATCCATCACTTCTCTGGGTAAGTTTTTCTAGTTGATATCCATTCTTTTTTGTTAAAACCTTCACGTGTTCTAGCTTTGCTTTCTAATGCTGACTGTCAGAGATGAACCCAGTATTCCTGTAATGGTATCACTCAGTTCTGTTCCAGGAAATTATCCTGTTCTCCACTTGACACTCCCTTGCTCAGACAACTCAGGATCATTTTCGCAGCTGTGGAAAGCAGAGGAAAGAAAGGGGATGAGGCCATACTATAGCAATTTTGTGAGGCTATGCTATAGCAATTTTGTTTAAAAGACACAAAGAAAAAAAAGTATTATGGTGTTAAAGGGGAAAAATCCTATTTCAGTAAGTTTTGAGAAGTGAATGGCAGAGGATCAAGTAATTGATCACAACATTTATCTTACAGCTGAAACAAGAAAGGTAACAGGGATGTAATCAAGATTAAGGCTGGAGGGGAAGAAAAGTGAGGTAAGATTTTAGATTCACTGCCGCTCTAGTGGGTTAATATTGTCTGGCTGCCAAGTGCCCACCAAGCTGCCCTCATTCCCAAAAACATGTGGAGAAAAATAAGGTCAAAAAGCTCATGGGTCATGATAAAGACAGGGAGATCACTCACCAATTACTATCACAGGCAAAACAGACTCAAATTAGGGAAAATTAGTTTATTACCAATTGGGATTTGAGTAGGAGGGTGAGAAACAAGGACAAAACTATAAACCCCCACACATGCACCTCTTACCAGGCTCAACGTCACTCCTTCTTTCACAACTTTTCTACCTTCTCTTCCTGAGCAGTGCAGAGGGATGAGGAATAGGGGTTCAATCTGTAACACTTTGCTCCTCCTTTCTCCTCATGCTTTTTACCTCTCCAGTGTGGGTCATTCCCACTAGGGACAATTCTTCTTCAGGAAAAGACTGCTCCAGTGTAGGCTCTCCATGGGATGCAGTTCCTGGGAGAAAATCTTGTCCAGTGTGGGCTCTCCATGCGCTGCAGCTTCCTTAAGGCATCTCTGCCTTCTACAGCATTGGGTCATCCAGCAGTGCTGATATCTACCCCATCCTGGTCTTCACCACAGGATGAAGGGGAATCTCTGCTCTGGCACCCAGAGCACCTCCTTCCCCTCCTTCTTCACTGTCTTTGGTGTCCGCAGGGCTGTTTATTGCCTGTTTTTCTCACTCCTTTCTCATGTAGTTACTGTGCAGTGTTTTTTGCCCCTTTTTTAAGTATGTAGTCCCAGAGGTCCATGAGCATCACTGATGGGCTCAGCTTTGGGCAGCAATAGGTTTTGTTTGGAGCTGGATGCGAGTGGCTCTGTTCTACATGGCGGCAACTTCTGGTGTCTTCTCACATAGGCCGCCCCACAACACATCCTCACCCCTAACCTTGCCACATCAACCGAATATAGCTGTACCCTGCCAAGCAAGAGGAGACCAGAAGGGAGAGCCTGTGGGTTTTCCTGGTGGCAGCTGAAAGGGGCTGCATGAAGCTGCTTCTGACCTGAGGTGCCAGGCAGACGATGAAGGTTGTGGTTGGTGATTAAGGGAAAGAGGGACAGAACTCTTGAGTTCCACAATGAAATATCAGAGAAATTAAGAAAGTATTGAAATATGTTTTGTTGAATGTATCAATTGTATGGAAGTGATAGTCTAGAGGGAATCTGTCTTGGGAGTGCCTGGCTGTCAGTGGTGGATGTTTGCTTTGCCTTAGGGCACATAACAGCTTGTGTTGGCCTTGGCTGGAGGCCACCACTAGAGAGAAGACTCACTCTTCAGAGAATCAGCTGAGAGGCAGACTATCTGCTGCAGCCCGTGGATGACTCCTGCTGCAGAAGTTACATGAATATGATTTTTTTTTTTCCCCTCTGGCAAGGTTTGGAAACCGTTGGCTATTTTCTTGATCAGATAGTCTTGTGCTTGAACAAAATGCATGTATGAGAAGACCCTGCAGGAACTGGAAGAATATGAGAAGATTTACACTAAAGCAGAGATGAAGACTGTGTGTTAGCTAGAGGAATAAAACAGCAGAGCAGATACCAGAGGCATTCACCTTATGGGAATCCCAGAAGAAAAGCAGGATATGGAGGAGACAGACACTTTGCAGTATGGACAGGGTTTGTGATGCATATGTAGTAGGTAAATATCCTCATGCTGAAGTAGCAACTTTGAGTCCTATTTATATGTTCTTGCATCCAAAATGTAAATTCTGGCTACACCATCTATTAAAAAGACATGTTATTATGTATCTGGAGACATGTAACTTTGCGAGGGAGAAGAGGTCTTGAGTGACAAGGGGTAAGTAAAGCTGTGCTATTTGTAAAGGATAATAAATCAAAAGATAGGTTCTGACAATTAGGGGTGCAGAGGAAAGGAGAAAGGCAATGTCAGTAGCAAGAGACACATCAGTAAAGATCCACCATTGCCCCTCCTCACCAGATTCCGGGTGCACAGAGGCAGCGACAGCATGAAACCAAACAACACCCTGCCCCTGGCCTATTTGCCAGTGCTCCTGATGAGCTCCTTCAGAGTAGGCAAATGTCTGTGCCACAATGGCTCCCTATGGCACAACCATCTGGGCACAGAGATCCATCCTAAAAAAGGATTCAGTCATTTAGACTGGTGTTGCTTCAAGTGCAATTCTCATTGCAGTTTCACTGTGTGGTCACTGGAAATGCCTCAGCAATAAATAAATTATGGCAAAAACAATTGACTCAACACCCTGTCCTTTCTTAGTCCTTTCTTGCTTTATGAAATAGTGTAGCTTACATATCTGTCAAGTAGATCTGGTAGACTATAAACCCTGGGACAAAGCTGTGTCTTTTGTGAAGTGCTTAGCACTTCTAGGGGAAAAAATTAAATA